GGGAAGGACAGGGAGGTGACTGTCTGGCTGCCACGGGCTCTCACTCACAGACTGAGGGGAGACTGTCCTTCCTCCCATGAGTGGTGCTTCTGCATTTGAGCAGCTTGGGGAGGGGTTGATTTTCCGCTATGGGTTCCCCTTGAAAATCCGGCTGGGAGGGTACCTGAGTGTGAGCATCACCCTGGTCTGGACTAAACCTTCACTGGGAGAAGCAAACAAAAGTGTACACCCAGGAGAATATCTGTGGCTTAACGGCAGCCAGGAGGAAAGCAGGAGGATGTATCACTAAGGAGGTTTCCCTCCTTAGTCAAACAAATTTTCACCTGGCACACTAATGTAGGTTAGGGAGCCCTGGCTGCGGAATTCTCCGTGCTGGGATGGCTGAGCTCTGGTAATTAACACAATGAGTGTCCCCAGTGCAAACTGGGTCCCAGCTCCAGTGGCTGGCGGCACCAGCTCACCCTTCATCAGGGCTGCCCTGATTTAATCTGACGTATTTGAGGAAGCACGATCTCTAGGGGCTGTGAGATTGGAGTACCTTCATCCCTCCCTCATTTGTTTCTTCTGCTTTTTGCACTGATAAGCCTGGCTGGGCTGAGAAAGGCACTGAGGAAGAGCCACCACCTCGAGCAATGATGTTGCAAGAGGCAAACCCTCAGCAGCCCCGAGGGATGTGGCCATCCCCATGAGGACTGACCAACTCATCCCTGCAGCACCCACAGACAGCCTGGCTCCTGCTCTTCCAAAAAACGTTGACTTTGAGCAAACTGGTCTAGTGGGAAGTCTAGAGGGGTTGGAACGAGATGGCCTTTAAGGTCCCTTCCAACCCAAACCATTCTGGGATCTGGTGATTAAAAAACCTTTTTACCCTAGTGCTGTGAAACTCCTCAGGGCACTGGAGGAGGGCAAAGAGCCTTCCCCTGGCCAGTGGTGGCCACTTACTGCTCTCCCCCCGGGGCTGTCCCCAGCCCTAGTGGCACTAGCAGAGTGCCAGAGGTGCCTGTGGAAGGGCAGGCCTGGGAAGCAGGTCACGACAACCTGCTCTTCTGGTTCCCTCCGTGATTCAGCCGAGGTGTGAGCGGTGCCCAGAGGATCCCTCCGGTGCCTCCCTTTAAGCTCAGCTCCGTGGCTGGTCCAGCTGCAGCGCCAGGCTGGGCCAGCACCCACATCCCAGCACGCTCTGGATGTGCTGCTGGAGGTGGGGGAGCCCCTGCTCCTGAGGTCTCTTGGCCGATGGCTCCATGTGCCTGATGAACTCTGCTGGCTCACAGAGCAAACAGCAGCACTCAGGGCCAGCCCTGGCCCTGGCCACGGGGCAGACGCCCTCCTGCTCGTGGGCTGAGCTGGCTCTCACGCAGCCTGTCGCCTCACCCACACACCCATGAGCTCAGCACACCGGGGTGAAACTCGACGGGTCGGTTCCACTGCGGAGAGCCAGGTTTAATGAGCAAATACCGGCAAAAGGCATGCTCTGGCTTCCTGAAATAGCCTGATGCTGTCGTTTCTGAGTTTTGGGAGGAGACAGGCGGGGGGAAATCAAAAAATAACAACCAAGAACTCAAAGCAAAGGCCGAACAAGACTCTGGCAAGTTGTGGGGTTTTTTTGCATTTTGGAAGCTGCTTTGGGATATTAAAGCAGCTCTGTAAAGTACAAGATGGACCAGATCCTGCAGTGACACACTTTGACTGTTCCCAGCACTCCAGAGAGCTGTTGTACCTCCCCAAAAAAACAAACCCTCCCTCCAGCTGCAGCCAAGTTTGACCTCAGCCCTCCAGGTCACTACAGCTCAGGCAACGCCGCCTCTGATGGAAAAACCGTGTGTCAAAGCCTCAGCCACCTCTGCAGCTCTCCCCTGCAGAGCACCTCAAAGCACTTTGCAAAGTGTTCTCACAGGCCCCTCTGGGAGCCCAGGGGGCAGCCCAGTGACAGCAGACAGGAATTTGTCCCCAGACAGAGGGCAGCACTTGGAAACAGAGGCCCAGATGTGCAGGTGCAGGACCGAGCAGAGGATGAAGCCTCTGCTCTGGGTGGCTGCATCTCAAGCTGTACGAGTTTCACGGCAGGGATTAAACAGGCAGATTGTTAAGACTCGTTAAGCATAAAATTTAACTGCAAGTGTTCTTAAACTCCGCAGTGGAGCCCTCCTGCCCTTCCCCCTAGGGCTTTTCAGGAGCCCCTGTTGGTATCAGTACCTGGAAGCCCTAATGTGTAGCATGAGTTGACACCTGGTTCCAAATGGATGGGCAGATGTGCACGGAAGGCTGCAGGAACCATGAATTGAATCCGTTCTGGGCGATTGAACCGATCACATTAAAGATAATTTGTAAAGCAGATTTTTATAAGAGACTCCTTATAGCTTTTACAGCGGGGAACTTTTATTTCCTTATCAGTTAAAAAAAAAAACAAGCTAACATTATCCAAAGGGGGAGGCAGCATACGTGGATGGGAACGGAATGAAATGGCATTGATCAGACGGACATGAAAGGTTTCCCAGAAAGCAAGCAGTGCCTCCTGCTTTCCTCTCCTCCTTCTTGGAGGCTGAGAAACCGCATTTGCCAACAATTCCACAGCTCCTATTCATTTACAGGAGAGGATCCCAAGTTCCCCTGTCCCCTTCTTGAAAAGCAAGATTGCCTGCATTCAAAGCTTATTACATATGGCTTGTTTTAGAAATATATATATATCTCCTCAGCTGAATTTGGCACAATGCACTGTGAACTTGAGGAATTACCTGCCTCAGAAATCCACCCAGACCTGGGGTCTAGCAAGGACTGCCAGTCTGCCGTGTCCCTGCGCAGCACCGAGCACAGCACTGTGCTGGTGCTTCCCTGCAGCTCTGGATCCATCCCCAGCGCGCCCAAAATGAACCCGACCCAGCTAAATAAATGAATGACTAAATGTGTTAACACGGGACCAGACGCTCCTGCAGCCATGGTGCACCCACCACCAAACTGGTCCAGCCGAGAGTCTCGCCCACACAGGCTGCAGGTGATCCCAGGGTTTGGGAAGGATTATCCTCTGGAACACTGCGGAGCTGGCTGTCCCCTTGGCTTGGCAAGGCACCGCGAGATGCACCACTGGCTGATCCTGGCAGAGCTGTCAGCGGGACAGTGCAAGACAAACTACCACGCTACTGCAGTGGCAGCAGACGGGTCCGCTCCACTGCTGGCAGCAAAGCCTGGGGAACAGCCAAAAATGGGATGAGTGGGGGGAAAAAAAAAAGTCTCTCTTGGCAGGACAAGGTGAAATGCCAGGCTGTGTCAGGGTCACTGTGTGTCTCCTTGGTGAAGGCAATTCCTGGACGGACTGGGGGGAGCATAAATGCCTTTTGGTTTGCCCGGCACGGTCACCACAGCATTACTCCACCTCCTGTGCCTTTCCCAGGGGTTGTGGGGAGAGTTTCCTGCATGGGGCTGCTGGGTGGAAGGATGAGAAGGAGGGAAGACCGGGTGAAGAATGGCATGGAAAGTTCTGAGACGTCTTGAGAAGAGCCAGAGCCCAGGCAGGCACCTGCCTGGAAGCACAAGGATCCCAGGGAGCCCGAGGCTGTCCCTTCCCTCACCTCTTTTTGCAATGCACAGCAGATCCCTTTGTCCTGGGAATACAGAGACATACCCAGCCCTGGTTTCTCATCACCCTGTTAACCTTTCCCCTCTCACAGTCTCCCTGGTTCCCAGACCACCACCCCCTCCCATTTCACCTCTGTCCTCACCTATTTTAACCAGACCATCCAGTCACTGTGCACTGTTATCTCCTGTGCCCTGGGTGTTATCATCTCTCCTTGCCAGCACCAGGAAACTCTGGGCCCTGGCATTTCCCCCGATGGCCTGTCCTTTGGCTCAAACCTTGCTATCTGCAGCCACATCTCAGAGTCACAGCCCAGCCAGCCCGGCTGCTCCTCTCAGACGCAGCCCCAGCCCAAATAGAGGAGGAGTGGAGGCGATTCCACCCTGCAACTTCTCTCCAGCTGCAGATCCCACTCCTGCTGCAGGCTCAGGCTGCCTCTCACCCTTCAGGAGGCTGGACACCCACCCGGGGTGGCACATGTGCCCGTTGCCAGCACTCCAGCCCCAGCCACCACCAGCCTAGTCCCAAAAAGGCAAACACCGGCTCTATTTGCATCTCTCAGTTCATTCACAAACTGCAAACCCAGACTGCCGATCCCCTTTCCATGGCTCCGACTCCGGAAAGCCCTCCAGGATGGCATTAACCCACTCTGCACTGGAGCAGAATAAATGAGTCCCCGCAGGGCACTTCCCAAAGTGGGTCACTCTCCCGCTTCCCAGAGCTGTGCTGGAGCCCAGGGCAGCACCGAGCCCGGGGAGGGGACACACGGGCTGTTCTGCGACCGCCCGGCTGGGTCCAACGAGCCGGGGAGCAGCCGATCCACAGCTCTGCCCATCACCTCCTCCTTTCCAGGGATGGATCAGAACCAAAGCGATGGATCGGAACCAAAGCGATGAATAAGGTGTCACCAGGCAGCCAAGCGCAAAAGCAAGCTCTGAAACCTGGGAGCGGTCCAGCCCCTCCGCAAAAGGAGCCCGTGGGAAGCGTGTGTGTGTGTGTGTGTGAAGGGGAGCGGGGATTTCGTGGATGATGGAGAGCTGGAACCCTCCATCGCTCCTCCCGAAACATCTGCGCTCCGTGCCCTGCCTCGTGGCCGCCTTTCCCGGGAAGCCTGGCTGCTGTGCCTCGCTAGACACCGCTCGATCCAAAAAAGCAAACAAACGGCCTCAGCTCCCCGGGCTCCGGAGCCCGCTGCCTGCAGCTGCTTCCAAAACAAACGAGCGTGTTGTTCCGAGGCCGAGTCGGGGGCTCAGACCGGCCCCGATCCTCTCCCACCCTCACACAGATGCTCCCACACCTGCTCCAGACCCGGGCGCGCACCCCAAAACGCCGGTCCCGCCCTTCCCCGCATCCTTTTCCCCCGCGGGCATCCCGTAGCCCCCCTCCGGGGCTGTCCCCCATCCCCACCGCCCTCCCGGGGGGACCGTCTCACCTGGTAGGAGCGCGGCCGCCAGGATGCAAACTCCGATAGTCCACCACGATGCACGGCAACTTGTCTGCAGCCGTGAAGCCATGAGAGTTCCTTAGGAGCGATGGGCAAAGGGGTCGGTCTTGGCAGCAGCGCCGCGGGGTCCAACCCAACCCCCCAAAAAAAAAAACCCCTCCCCGCCCCGCGGTGATGCTCAGGTCTGGTTGCAAAAAAAAAAAATTAATAAAAATAAAATATTAAAATACAAAAAAATGTAGGTGCGGGAGGACAAAGAGGCGGCGGGAGGGCGGAGGGCTCTGGGGAGCTCTGCACATCCGCGGGGCAGCGGAGGTGAAGGAGGGGAGAGAGGGGGAAAACCAGCGCGATTTCAAAAAAAAAAAAAAAAATTCAAAGAGGAAGAAGGAAGAAAAAAAGGGAGGCAAAACAAATAAAGAGTGGCGAGGCAGAGCCCTCCGCGGGCTGCGGCGGTTCCCGTGGCTCCGGGCTCTTCGGCAGCCCCCGCCCGCTGCCCTTGCCCTGCGCGGGGCGCCGGGGGGGCCCGGCGGGGCTCACAGGGGGATGCGGGGCTCGCTGCGGTGCTCCATGGCCGGGCGGGGGCGCGGGGGCCGGGCCGGCCGCGGGGCGGGGGGCGCGGGTGCCCGGGCTGGGCTGGCGGGGCTCGGCGGGGCCGCTCTCGCACTCGCACACACGGAGAACACACGCACAGCCCGCGGGCGGAGCCTCTCCCGCGTGATGTCAGCGCTCGGCGGAAGGAGGGCGCAGCCTTAACCCTTTGCAGGGATGCGGGGATGCGGGAAAACGGCGCGGGAGGGGCGGCCGGGCTCGCATCCCCCCCCACCCCTCCACCCGCGGCTCCCGCCCCCTCCAGCTGTTGGCAGATGTTGGCGGCTGTGGTGGCAGCTGGGCTTTGTTCGCCGTGTCCGGGCGCATCTCGCAGCCCAGGGGCGCCTCTCTGCGGGTTTCCTGAGGTGCTCCTGCCTCAGCGCCCCGGGTTTTGTGGACTCGAGGCTTGCTCCTGAATCCCCTTAGGGCCGTGCCTCTGTCAGCGCCAGATGCCCACCTACCAGATGCAGCACGCAAAAACACCCCCCGCAAAATAGACCCGACCGTCGCACGGGGGATCTAAATTCACCCTCCTCGACGCCTCGGGTGTAGCTACTACAGCGTTTTTCTCCTCAGTGCCTCGGGTGTAGCTGCTGGAGCGTTTTTCACGGGGCCTGCTGAAAGAGGGAGCTTGTTCTGGACACCCTCTGTGTGTGCTGATAAGCGAGGGGATTCAGAGCCAGCACAAGGGCTGGTGCGCTGGAGGAGGGAAGGCAGCGCTTTGCTGCGCTTTGTAACAGCCTTTATTATGCGGACACAGACACAGCCTTTGTGGATCCTTTGCTAAGGAGGTATTTAGCCCGCTATCGCCGGGCTCCCGAGCTGCCCTGGCCTCTGCGAGGATGCTGAACCCCAAACAAAGATGTGAACAACAATGACAACAACCAACAACAAAGTCATGTTGATTTCAAGCTCCATTAGAACAACACGGGAACAAATCAATGCCTGGCAAGCAGAAAAGGACAGAACCAGTGGGGAAGGATACCACACAGAGTGGAGAAGGGAGAGGTGGGGGGCAGCCAGCAGCTATATAAAGATACCCCTGAGGACCCCCTCAGCAGCCTCCTCCTCCTTTTAATTCCTTTAGAAGTTAATTCCTGTTCGAGGGAAGGATGGACAGCTCTGTAACAAAGCGGATTAGCCAGATACAAGGTTTGTTCCGAAATAACAAAAGTTATTACGTAGTAATGAGGTTTAGTTAATAGATTCACAGGCTGCAAGGCCGCTGGGATTCCTTTGGACATCCTGCTTGTGGAGCTGAGGCTGCTGAGCTTGTCCTGATGATTTCTGCCTCCTGCCTCTTCCATAAAGCTGCAGACCTGAGCTCAGGAGTGCAACCCCCCCTGTCCTCGTGGGCAGGCAGGCTGTGGAGTGTTCCCAGCATCCTTGGGATGGTTGGTTTTCCTGTCTTTGGAAGGTTTATCTGTTTAATTTCAGTTTTAATCCATAAAATCTCATTATTTCTTTTCCCAGCTCCATTAAGGAGCTACCTCCAATGAGACATTGCTCCCCTGGGCAGGACTCTCTAAGTCACCATGGAGTCCCCCACATTATCAGTGTTCCATCTTGCATTATTCCCAGTGTTACACTCTCCTATCTCCCATTTAATGTAAGAACTGCCCCTGAACTGGCCCCTGCTGAGATGTTGGGGCAGCCACACCTCAGCTTTCTGCACTCCAAGTGACACTGCAGTGCCACGTCCAAGGTGAAATTCAGATTTCCCTTCAGGAATATGGGGAGATTTGGGCCTTGGCTTCCCAAATCACAGCCCTCAAACAATGTGAGACAAAAAATGTAAATCCATTTAGCAGCAGCAGCAGCAGCAGACCCTTCGCCCTGGTGCATCAGGCCTGACTTATTGAGCCAGAATGTATTATTTTCATGATCCTGCACAAAGCAGAACCCATCACATTTGGCACAGTTCTGGCTGTTAACTTCTAAGATTTATTACACAGTGCCATGGGGCCCCTGTTCTGCAGCATTTTGTGAGTCCAAAATTTCCGTGAAGCCCAAGGGGACTTCTGCATGAGCAGGAAAGGCAGGAGCAGAGTACTTTGGTTTGGCAGTTTTTTTGTTATTTCTAGGGGAGGAAGATCATAATATGTAACATATTTAATTGCATCAGACTTATTTTTTGGCTTTGGGGAGGTCTCTGTGTGCACGTCCTCCGAGGGGCTGCAGGGACTGCCTTCTGCTTTGCCAGAGCAGCTGGTTTAGCCAATTTTTTCTTTCCTTGTTCTAACCCTCACTGGGATGGTTTCTAAAGCTCATCCCAGCCAGAGACGTGGAAGAGGACCCCTAACTATTTTATATACCATGGTGCCTGCAATAATAGGGGAGGGGTTTTAAAGGTTCCCCATCCATATCAGCACATGAACCACTCTGAGGCTCAGAAATTCCTTTCATAAATCTGTAAACGTATTCCACTAGAAACAAAGAGAGAATAAAACAGCCCACCTGGTGCCTCAGATAGTCTGAGAATCCCACGTCCTCCAAGGAAAATAAGTTCTAATAGGGTGCTATTTACCCCCTCTCGATTTTTAGGGATGGTGGAAGTCATTTTAGGTGGCAGCTAGCCATCAGAACAGAGATCCGAGCCCCTTCCTCTGCACCCCTGTGAAATGTGTTTTAGGCACAGATACTGGAAGTGGTGTAGGAACTTGGCCGCCACTTACATAAGTTGTCACGCTAATATCGTTCTTGAAAATTGCCATTAAAGCATGAAACAACATTTGGCTGGGAAAAAAAAACAAAACAACAACAACAAAAAAACCCAACAAACAACAAACAAACCCACCCCGGGCTTGCAGTGTTTTGTCCGCCCAGCGTTTTGGCTGCTCCACCAGCACGAGGGTTTTCTGCTGATGCTGCCATGTGAGGTAACGTCTCCTCAGCAACCTGCTGTTACAGGGCTTTCCACCAGCACCTCCCAAAATCCTTCCCGCTGCCTGACGTGGTGGAGCGTGGTCTTTTGGCAGCAGGACACGGGATGGGGTTGGGAAGAGCTCTGCAATGACACAGATCCTTTTGGACGGGGTCTTCCCTGGCGAGCTGCTGCACATCCTTCCTCTGGGTGGAACAGATGCTGGGCTGGACTCAGGGAAGAGTGGCTCGTCCAAACAGCTCCTGTCTGCTCTGGGATGAGCACAGGAACAACAGGGCTGGGCTGATGGATACCCCTCAGGGGACCCAGGAATTCCCTCAGTGTCTTTCCGAGCAGTGGCCCCTTCCCAGTGGCTCCCTGCGACTTGAAAGGCTCAGTGGGAATGGACATCTTATACCAGTTATTTATAGTTATGATTACCAGAGAGGCTCGGGAGGAGGGAAGAAGGGGGGGAAGGAATTGCTCTTTAAAACATTCCTCAGTGGGGTTTTTCAGCTGCCTTTGTTTGATGCAGAGCCCACAGCAGAGACCTGTCATTCTGAGCTGGGGGCGCGTTTGACACTCCTGTCTCCGCTGTGTACCTGGTGTGTATTTGCTGCAGTGCTGATTACATTAACTCCTGTGTTTATAAACATTAGGAATCCGCGCAGAAGGCTGTGCTGAACAGAATTTTAAAGCCGGCATCAGTTTTATTTTTGCTTTTTCATCTGTAAACACACATAATGTGTCTGCAGCGCAGTCAACAATGAGGGATCAGAGGTGCAAAGGGCTTCCTGAGCTGATTGTCTGCTTGGCTTCACTTCGGAGCTCTCCTGATACAGCCTCCTCCACGCACAGACAGACGTACACACATCTAGGCTGTACAGACTGCAGACACTGCTTCACACCTCAGAGCACCATCCTATTTTGTAAGGCAATTCAGCGCTGATAGTCCTGTCCTGCTGTTCTCTGGATAGGGCCAGCAGTTGGAGAAGGAATTAAGCCTGAACTGGTGAGAAAATTGCCTCCCAGTTAATGGGAGCTGATGCGAGCTGTAAGCAGCCTGCAAACGGCGGTGGGGGTTTCGTGGCCCCCTCGGTGGAAGGGTTTGGAACAGCCTCGCTGCAGCGCTGTCGCCGTGCCTTAACCCTCGCAATCCCCACAGCACCCCCTTGCGAGGCTGGAATTAAACCGTAATCCTCATTACACACGGAGAAAAGAAGCCCAGGGAGATTAGGAATCCCAGCCGTGCAGAGGGCAGGATGAGTTCTGCGCCGGGCTTTCAGTGGAATTGCAAGGCTGGTGGGCTTGGGAGGACCCACGTCTTGGAATTGCCCTGCAAGGGCTGGACTGAGTGGTTTTTAATCCAGCCAGCCACACATTGTGGGGGGATTTGGGCTGGATTTTGGGCTCTTGAGTGGGTAAAACTGCTGCAAACAGCACCCATGTCTTGCTCAGACTAGAGCTGGGCTGTCAGCCTGTTCCCACCAGCAAAGAACCATTCCTGCACCAAAGCCGAGGAAATGCCTGAGAGAAGGAGCTGTCATCTTCCCAGATGGAGCTGACATGGAAGAAGGAATGAAAAGGTCTGTCTCCCATGCACACAACCACGCTGGGAATGGTGTGTGCGTGTCCATGGAGGGCAGGAGGCGAAGCACAGCATCCACAGAGCCCCAGTGGCACAGGGAGAGGGAGAAAGAGAAATCAGAGGAGAAA